TTGTTCAGTTTATTGGAAACGTGGTAAACAGGTGTATATTCATATATTCATGTTCACATACCGTAAAAACAATCGCTTTCAAAAGAAATCCGTCAGGTAGAACACGAATATATGAATACACCCCCCCCCCAAATTATCGGTCTAGTATATTCATATATTCATGTTCACATACCGTAAAAACATCGCTTTCAAAAGAAATCCGTCGGGTAGAACACGAATATATGAATATACCCCCCCAAATTATCGGTCTAGCTACGGCCTTGGTGGTAAACAAAGTATTGTCATCGTTAAACCAACCGAATCTTCATCAGTGCAAAAAATATTCTCTAATTTCAGAGCCTGCTCAGTATGGAGAAAGCTGTGAACAAAATGAAGTCAATTTTCACGCTGACAAAGAGGAAACATGATTTCGAAATGAAGAGAAATACTGCAAAAGCGAAACGACTTAGTGTGACTACTCATAATAAGAAGAAACCAGACAGTAATTCAACAGTTAACCCACTGGCTGCTGTCACAAACTTGGTAGAAACATTAGGTTTGGCTGTTTAGATTATATTGGAAGAACTATTCTTACTGGTACATATTGGACAGACATTTTAAAAACACGGTCAAAAGTAGCTAGCCCAACGCAAGCTCAACCTCGTTCCCAGGCTCTTACCTTTTGTGGAGGAAAGACCCTGGAAGGAGCTAAAAATCTGCAAGATTTTAGCAGATCACTTGACCAGCCCCTACCAGGGTCTTCCTCCACAAGAGGTAAGAGCCTGGGAACGAGGTTGAGGAAAGCTTAGTCTTAATCTAATGGTGGATTGATGACTTTAAAAACTCGCACATTTCAATGTTCGACAGTAGCCCATGATTCGTGAAAAAGTATAGGTTCTATATTTATTTTATGATTGAAAATAACCGTAAGGTTTATTAACGTGAGAATCCCAGAACTTACCAATTTCCAAGTTCGGAAATTGGGCGTGAACGTCGCGACGAATTTTACATTCAATGTTTGAACTTCGTTTGTAAACAAATGTTCATATCTCAATAATAATAACCAATTCAATGAAATACATATACCCTCTTGGGAGACCACTAGACAAAGAACTTTCATTAAATTATTAATTTCAAATTGAACTGTGAACAATTTTTACACTAGAAGTTCAAACATTGAAATGAACTTGCGAACTTCGTTGCGAAGTTCACGCCCACTTTTCCGAACTTGGAATTTATTTCGCATGTTCGCAAACAAACTTGGGAAGTGCGCACGTTGAAAAGCGACCTGAGATCGACAATGAAAGGCATTATGGTGTCATACACATACTATAGCGGACACACAATAAACCCTTATTAGGTTTAACACTTCGCCATGTTATATGACAAGTAGACTAGACGAAGTTGTGAGAAACACTGAATTTGTTTTAAACTGACATACACTATATATCACGTTCTAATTTGGTCTATGGTGTTATTGTATATAATCATTCTATTACAAAACCTACTTTGTATATATAAAAATCCATGTATCAAATTGTGTACGAAGTCTGTTGTTAGTACATGTGATTCGAATATTCAAAGTACTATTTAAAAAACGAGCAGGAGTGTTTTATTAGGTTTAAAGCCACGAGCGCGCAGCGCGAGTGGCTTTAGACCTAATAAAACACGACCTGCGAGTTTTTTAAATGGCTTCAAAAACGTATGCATAATAAGTCAAATCTTTATATAAAAATCTTTATATAAAAATCTTTATATGGTTTGCATAACAACTTTTGTTAAAGTGTTCTTTAGCTGGTATAAAGACGTATGCACGTGACTAATTTCTTACTCAAGATTGGATAATTGGTTCATGAATTATTAATGAGTTTTTGAATGGTATATATTGGCGCTGGCATATATTGCCGCTATATACAAAGACTCGCAAAAATAGAACATTCCCATCACCCATTGCGCGTGATTCACAATTAAGGTGATGTTACACGGAACGATCTTCAACTACAATTTGTAATGCAAATTATGGTTCATGAAATTTGGATTTGTAACGCGTTGCGTTAAAAATCTTCATTGAAAGTTTTCCCGTGTAACATCACATTTTGTATGACCTGACTATTTTTTCCTATTTATTTCTCTATTTCTACATAATTATTTAGTAATTTTAAGATGCTAACGATACATGAAAAAGTTGATTTGTTTTAGCCTCAAACAAACAAGTTCTAACAAGTCCTTAAGACTATTATATAGCTAGGAAGTGTTTGCCCTTCTTGCTTATAGCTGTTGTTATAAGTTTGAAAAAGGTTTTCAACGTTCTGTGCAAACTGTTATCTGACACTCATCACGGCCAACTTTTGTTGAATTTGGCTGGTACAAGTTCTGCAGTGGCACCACTTCTGCCTTCATTCAGACTAGGAAGATATTGCCATGTATAACCTCCCAGAACAAAACCTTCTACGGAGGCAAGATCCATACGTTCCATACTTGCTCCACCCATCACGACAATCATATTTCCAGTGATAACTGCACATGGTGAAACTCTTGCTTCTAGCATTGATGGCAAAACGTCAATTTTCCCAGTTGTAGAATCGTACATGAGAACTTGATTGAGAACTTTGGCTTCATTGTCTCGACCTCCAATTAAGACAACCTTATCTCCCCAACGAACCGTTGCCAATCCTGATATGGCATGCGGCAAACAAGGCAGATTTCTGCATTCATTCGTATTCAAATCAAACTCTAAGACACTATTAAGCGAACTATTATAATCACCGCGAATCCTTCCTCCAAAAATCAAGACTCTGTCTTCAAATAACTCCGCGCCAAAATATTTTCTTGGCTGAGGCATGCGACACAACACCTTGCTAGTGTAAGGCGGAGTAAGAAGTATTTCTGAGATGAGATCGACGTAAATGATAAATGGCATTGCAGACCCGCCAATTAAAATCAACCGATTCTGGTAAACTAATGTGCGATGGCCTTCGTAGGACGCAGGCAATTCAGCAGCAAGTAAAGTCCATTTTCCAGGTGCTTCATTTAAATTTAAGGCCTCCATTGCCCTGCTATCTCTTCCACCAACAACATACAACTCATCGCCAAATAAAAACGAAGTAACATACACACGACCAATGTTTAGGGATGCAATCTTTACCCAAACATTTTTCTTCCATGAAAACCTTTCCACGGATTTTCTCACGTTGAGCTCACGGTCGTACCCTGCGATTATGGTGATATCTTCTCGTGTTGTATCAGAAACTTTGTTGGAAGAAACCATTCGACTGTCTAGGACTGTCAACTTGTCTAATATCTGAACCACAATTTCTTTAACTTGCTCTATTTCTCCTTCGATTGTATCAATCCTTTTGGTCTGAAAATTAAAGTTCATATACAACAAAGTAAATTACATTTTAAATGGTTTTACATTTCGGCTACTTTTTAAACGTTATTTGGATCTGAGTCTACCAACATATAAAAGGGATTATGCACCAGTCAGTGGTTTGCACCAGCCGGGGGGGAGGGAGGGGTATATATTGGACATTCGGCCCATAGGATTTCACTACCACCTGCTTTCCGTAGGTCTGGATTTTGACAATTATATGTCTCAAGGATTGGGAAGATTGATCATTCTTACCTTGTATCTTCTGTAATAGGGCATGAAAAGTTTTAAATGTCACAGGACATTGTGGCTGAATTAAGATATCATATTTTATATATCTACTTTTCTCTTTATTTAATTGATATTCTACCTGCGTTTTGTAATAAAAATACCACATAAAAGGCAAAATCAGTTGTCAAACCCATGTTCAAGTGTAATTGTTTACCTAAACTGCTCTCTATAATAATTCAGTACTCTATTTTTCTCATCTTTTTCATGCTTGGGAATTTGACTTACTTTGACATAATCAGGCATCTCCACGGATATTATTTTCATTACAAAATGTTAAATCCCGAGGGTATGCCCTATACCCCCTCCCTGGGGCAAATCATTGACTGGTGCTTCTCTCTCTCTCTCTTCCCAGGCACATAATAGTGACACACAGAAGTCTGACTCAGCCAAAAGAGCGTAACTGCCGCCCAGTCGCTGCCACACCATAGCATTGCTACGCTAGCATTGCCAAAATCATTCTCTCAATTCTGTGTAAATAGTGACTAAAATAAATCATTGGACTGCACTATATCATATTCCCTCCCGCGCACATTTTGAACAGCTACGTTTACACGCTACGATTTGTCGTGTACGATTCGTATTCTGGCGTATTAAAATGAGTGCTGGCGCCATAATGATTGCCGTTCAAATGTAGCCAGCTTAAGCCCGTTCTCCACTACGCGAAATTGTTCGCGCGACGCGAAGCGAAAACCGAAATCCGGCAACGTGATTGGTCGGCGAAAAAATTCGCGGCGAAAAAGTAGGATCGCTTCCTACTTTTTATCTGTTCGCGCGAATAAATTCGCCTAGTGGAGAACGGGCTTTACGCTTTACGTACTCAATGACATACGCCAGAAAACGAATCGTACACAATTAATCGCGGCGTGTAAACGTAGCTAAAACCTTTAAAACTTTAAACTTACTACTTGTTCTTTCATTGTTCCAACCTCTTTTTCTATTTTTTCCTTCATCTCTTCCACATCTTGCTCGATCTTCACACAGTTATGACACTTGACTTTCCTGTACTCACAAACTGCGCTTTCGTGATGAATAATCTCTCGCTTATTAACCACCATTTGACATTCCTCGTTTGAGCACGTCGCCGGCGCAAAACCACAATTCTCGACGTGACAATCGAGTTCTTCCAAGCGAACGAACTCTTGACAACCTCGGTTAGAATAATCGCACTTTATCTTAAGCTCAGATAAATAATTGCTCACCAGACGCGCTTTACGAAGTGTTTCGACAGTCAAGTCCTCGTTACATTCTGGGCAAGTATGCGAGTTCACAGTTAAATGTTCAGTGATGCAGTCACGACAAAATACGTGCTCATTATTTCTACACATCATTGGTTCCTTCAGAACATTGTAGCAGATAGAGCAATGAAAGTGGGCATCGACAGCTTTCTCAAAACGACTATCCTCGTATCCATATTTCTCCTCTGTTGGACAATAAGCCATTCTCGAGAAGACACAAATCTAAGTCGTCTGTTTGCTTACATATCTTTTTATTCTAGAGTCCCCAATCCAATGGTCCAATACCGACTTTTAGTTCTCCTGAAATCACTCACTGTACGTCGTCACATAATTTGGAAGCGAGACAAACATATAAGTTATCAAACAACGCCTTCGTGCTAAGTTAGTTTCGTTTTGTGATTCAGGTATTTCACATATTAATATACGGTTGCACAACAGTCACCAAAACAAGCAATATCCAATGAGGCGTGAGCAAGGTCGCGACCTCTATAAAAAATATTTGCCAAAACACAAAAGCCATGAGAGTGCAGCCAAGTACAATTTGTCGGTTATTGTAATTTCTAGATCTTATTTATCGGTGTTTCCGATAGTTTTTTGCGTGGAAGTAATACGAATACCAAAGAGCACTGATTACTCCGCGACTTCGCGGCAACGCGTGCAACTGCGAGTCTACGAGTACCATTACCAGCTGAACTTAGAAATTGTAAAGATTTTAACGAAGTGCACTAAGAGTGTGCAAATCAGTGCAATGTCAAAACTGAATAAGCACCGTATATAGATTTAATACATAGATTTAAATTTTTAGAATTCTTATGGAAATGGTGTTTCCGGGCTTCAAATAGTAACTAAGATTTTAATGGTGTTTCCGGGCTTCAAATAGTAACTAAGATTTTAAACACCATTTCCTGCATTCTGAGCACGAATTCTGTTCTAAAATTTGATCTTAATACGGCCATATTTTAGACAAAAAGTTCCAAAAACACGTAAAGACAGTAAAATGGTTAAACGATATACCAAACATACCAGATCTACATTCTTAATTACTGTATGCAAGTTTAAGACCAGCCTTCCTCCCCATATTAATATGTAATTTAATATCATACCGCACATGTGTAACCGTATATAAACACAATTACAATCAATGCATATCGGACGCGCAATTTTTATGCTTTCTATATATTTACTATTAAATTTTCGAAATCTCCGGCGCGCAATTTCCAACCACTGGCACGGAGCGTTTACATTTATATTCTGTTTATTAATATATTCTAATATTCATAAGCTTACCTGACCCGAACGTGGTTCAACGAGCGCGCTCTTTCACCGTTTCGAATTGTAATTTCGAAAAATCACACACAAATACCACGCGATCTTTCAGGCGATCGGCCTTAACTTTGCTCCCGATGGCATCCTCACATAGCGCTTTAGTCTACTTAGTTTTTCTTCGAAAGAAATTGGCTCGGTAAAAGCGCAAACAAATGTAGCCAAATAACATCGCTCTAAAGTTCCTATCGAATTGCGCAACTGTAGCTGACTGTAGCGCATTGCAACGCTGTGATTGGTTTGCTTCATCTGACTGTAGCAAAAAGGCTAAATTTAGTAACTCGTCCCCCCGCTGACTGTAGCATTTTGACGTAAGACCCCCAGTTGACTGTAGCATTTTGACGTCATAAATCGCTATATTTAGACCACTTTTCTGAACGCTTTTTGAACGATGTTTAAAAAGTTTAGGTGATTTCCCCTAAAAGCGGGCGTTGTTTCGGGTAAAAATCAGGTTAAGATGCTTAAGCGCGTAAAAACGTAACTTAATATTCGTAGCTCACAAGAAACGATGGATAATAAAATAAATGGATAGGAAACTAGCTGACCTGACCTAATGTTTTCAATGGGCTGATGGCGTGATTGGATGTTGAAACCTAGTTGCAAACCAAATTCTCAAAAACGGCATGTTTAGCAATAATACAGCTAAACATTTTAGTCAAAGAGCAAATGAATATAACTACGCCATTCTACGATGAAACCTCTCAGTATTCCCAGTCAATTTTAGCAAATATTTCAAGCACTAAACAGTGAAAAAGGCATCCCAAATTTCGTAAAAATTGGGGACGCCAATTTCGTAGCTACAAATGTAAAAAAATACAAAACAAAGACGAAAAACATTTACCTTGTGTAACGTCGTGGTTTATATGAATCTTTTATTAAGATATATCTAACAGTAAAACCGGTCTATCTTCGTACAAGTATGCATTCCAAATGATGCTGGCTTAATCATGAGACAGCCCTTTATACATAATTACATATTCTATGGTATGCTAATTGTCTTGTGAAATGCTAATACAAATACCGACACATCTCCCTTCTTTTACACAATATTAACTATATCGTTAATTAATAAATCCTATAATTAAATCCTAACTACACTTTACTCTATATTTTTTTTTTGTGCTAACAATTGGATAGCTAAATTTCTTAAAGTCCACCAACAAGTTATTGTCAAGTTCTAATTAATAAATCTTAATAGTAAACAGTCACTAATTTAATTAAAAGTTCATCTATCTTTTAGTAGTCATAATCCTTTAAGTAAACAGGTTTTCTTAAAACACGCCCTCTCGAACTATACCGTATAGGGGACTGGCTGTTCCTAGACTGGGATACCCGGGTACTGTCGTTTGAATCATCAATCTCTGTTCTCGTTTCTCCGACATCAGGCTGGTCTATCTGATTACTGTCGGTTGTCAACGGTCTTGAATTGTCCATCGTTGTTCTCGTTTCTCCGACATCAGGCTGATCTCTCTGATTACTGTCCGTTATCAATGGTCTAGGCGGATCTACGTACGCCCCGATATCTTTCGCACTAACTGTATTTGACGGAGACTGTTCATTGCTGGCTAAACGCAGATGTCTCCGATTTCTCCTTATCTTGCTTCCCTGCTCCGTAGTTACCCCATATGACCTAATTCCCACTGCTTTGTTGACAGTAGCTCGCTTCCACTCTTTCGATCTCCTCGCCGGTCTCACGAACACTGTATCTCCTTCCTTTAACGGCTTTAAACTCTTCGACGCTTTGTTATAGTAAAACATTTGTTTTCTTTTCCTATCGTTCAACTTTCGCTCCGTACTCGAATCGTCCTTTCTCATCGACAGTAATCTACTGGATGTGGGTAGGAGTGTTTTTGTCCGACGACCAAACAGACGCTGCACCGGTGACGTATCCAAACCTTCAGTTGGAGTATTTCGGAAATCCAGGAATCCTAGGTAGGGATCTGCTCCAACTGCCAACGCCTTCTCCATTATTCGTTTTGCAGTTTTTACAGCGTTCTCAGACTTTCCATTCGACTGTGGATAATCAGGCGAACTCGTACCATGTTGAAACTCATAAGCATCGGCGAATTGTCTGAATTCTTCCGAGGTAAACTGAGGTCCATTGTCACTTACCATTCTGTCTGGTATACCGTGCCTGGCTAGGTGAGCCTTCAATCTACAAATAACTTCTTTTGATGTTGTATTATACAATCTATCAACTTCAAAGAAATTTGAATAGTAATCTGTGGTGACAAGATAGTTTCTTCCTTGGAATTCAAACAGATCAGTTCCAATCACTTGCCACGGTCTAGAAGGTACTGGATATGGAATCATGGGTTCTTTCTGTTGCTCTTGAGAGTATGTCTTGCATGTCTGACATTTTGAAATGTACTCTGTAATCTCTTTATTCATGTTTGGCCAATACCATACTTCCCGAGCTCGTCTGAGACATGCTTGAATCCCCAGGTGACTAACGTGGACCTTCGTTGTGAACTCTTTACGCAAGGATCGAGGTACGACCACACGTTCTCCCTTGAAAATGATTCCATCTTGCGCTGTTAACTCTTCTCGGAAAGCTACATACTTCAAAGCCTGTGCTGGAACTTCCTTCTTTGACTCCGGCCAACCTTGCTTGATCACTTGCTCCAGAATCTTAAGCTCGGGGTCTTCACGTGTACTTGTTTTAATTCTCTGAAGGGTTTCTTCTTTGACAGGCAGATACTGAAGCATGTTGACCTGTTCGGTTGCAATCTCAGTGGGAGATCTAACATCTTCGACTACGACATCGTCAACTGCGAGTACTTGCGGACCCTGCTCCCCATCACGCATTATTTCTGGATGCGAGAGAAAAGCCCTACTCAATGCATCCGCCATGATAAGTTGCGTTCCTTTCACGTACGTGACGTCGAACTCGTATCTTTGAAGCCTTAACAACATTCGCTGAAGACGTTTGGGGGCAGACAGAAGACTTTTCTTGAATATCGTTTCCAACGGTTTATGATCCGATTCGACCAACACCTTTCGACCGTATACGTACGTCTCGAACTTTTCCATGCCGTATACAATGGCTAAAAGCTCGTTTTCAATCTGAGCATAATTGACTTCAGTGTCGGTCAGCGATCGAGAAGCATATGCCACAGGCTGTCCGTCTTGCATCAAGCAAACACCAAGCCCATGCATTGAAGCATCGCATTGTAGGACTGGCGTCATCGTTGGATCAAAATATTTCAGAACTGGTACCGTTGTCAACATTCTTTTTATCTCCGCCAGTGCTCGCCCATGAACAGATTCTTCCCAAATTAAGTCGCTCTCTTTCTTTGTCAGCTGGCGCAGAGGATTTGTAACTTCTGCCAGCTTTGGGGCATATCTTTGCAGATAGTTGGTCATTCCCAACAGACGTTGTACCCCCTTTTTATCAGTTGGTGGTGGCATTTCCTCCACTGCTTTAACTTTGCTTGCATCTGGTTTCAAGCCATCTTTGGTTAATGTGTGTCCCATGTATGACACATCTTCACACCTGAATTGTACTTTGGCGCCATTCAACTTTATTGCTTTCTCTCGGCACCGCTCCAGAACATTTCGAAGATTGAAATCGTGATCTTCCAATGCTTCTTCCGATGTCTCTCCACATCCAAATACGAGGATATCATCAGCGATGGTATTGCATCCGTTCAATCCTACAAGAGCTTGATCGATTCTTCTCTGGAACTCCTCCGGAGCTGGTGCGATACCAAATGGCATTCGTAACCATCTATATCGTCCCCACGGTGTTCCAAATGTGGTAGCATAACTGCTCACTTCATCCAGAGAGACATGTCAGAACCCATTCTTGGCATCTAACACTGTAAAAAACTTTACTTTGGCCAGCTGTGGTAGCACATCTTCTATGGTTGGTAACGGGTAATGGTTTCTTTTCAGTGCTCGATTCGGTGGTTTTGGGTCAACGCATACTCTGATTCGTCCGTCCTTCTTCATTGTCACCACCATTGCTGAGATCCAATCTGTTGGAACATCTACTGCTTTAATGACACCAAGCTTCTCCAGACGAGATAACTCCGTCTTTAACTTTTCCTTGACTGCCAGTGGTACTCTTCTCGTAGGTAGTTGCACTGGTGTTACGGATGGGTCGATTTCGAGATGCAAATCTCCCTCTAGCTTTCCTTCTCCAGCGAAAACATCGGAAAACTCTCCCAACATACTTTCTTTTGACATCACCGCGTTGTATCGTAAACCCATGTTGTGGTGTAAACTCGTGATGCTTTCGACTTTCTCTGCACTTTGAGTTTCTATCGCCTGAATATTGTTTCTATTGACTGACAAAAGACCCATCTGCTGGCTTGCTTTAGCACCAAGGAGTGAGGTACAACTCCCTTTTACCACAACAAACTCAACACTGTACTTCTTTCCATTCTTGGGGTTTACCACTCTCACCCGTTTCTTTCCTAACGGCTTCTCTTCACTCTTATTGTACATTACCAAAGTTGCGTTCGTAGTTTCTAAACTCAATAGGCTCTCCTTGCCATACGCTTCACTGTAGTCATTCTGGGAAATTACATTAACAGTTGCCCCACTATCTAGCTGAAAACGAATATGTTTGTCATTCAACAACATTGTAGCAAACACTTTATCTTTGTTTTGGCTGACCTCAACAGCGCACACACTTTCTTTTAATTCAACACATGCAATATATTCATCAGAATCTACGTCTTCGACCCACTTTAGAGATTCCCGCCTTTCCCGTGGCTTTACACTACACATCACAGCAAAATGATTCTTTCTGCCACATGCGTTGCAGTTTTTTCCCCATGCTGGGCACATAAGTTTGTTCATTGGGTGAGACTTCCCACAGAATTTACATGTTGTAACTTTACGGCTTACCTCACTTCCAACTCGTTTCAGAGATCGCTCGAAACCAGGCTTCGCTTTGTCAACTTTATGAACTTCTGCTTCTTGTGACATCGCTTTCAGCTGCAGACACGTACTTTCGTATGATCTACCTATGTCAATGGCATCTTTCAGGGTTAACTTTGAAACTTGAAGCAATCTTTTTCGTATATTATTGTCCCGAATGCCCACAACGAGTCGGTCTCTTATCAAACTGTTTTCAAGAGTCCCAAAATTGCATGTCTTTGCCAACTTTCGAAGGACCGTAACGTAGAGTTCAACTGTTTCGTTAATTTCCTGATCCCGCTTGTTAAAGCAATATCGTTCGTATATCTCGTTCGTTTCGCCCACACAATATTCTTCGAGCTTTTCCATGACAATGTCAATGTTATTTCTTTGTGACTCCTCTTCGAAATCGAGTCCCTCGAGTATATCTAAAGCGTCCGGTCCAATACATGTTAATAGCGTTGCCGTTCGCATCTCCAAACTTAATTCTTTTAGTTGTGATCCGATTTCGTAGTTCTTCCACGATCTCTGAAACCTCTTCCAGTTCACAGCTAGGTTACCAGTTAGTTCGAGTCTTGACGGTGGCGATAGTCTGGCTTGAAAGTTTATATCTGCCATTTTACACTCGTCGCTATTCTTGTCTGCAGTTGACATATTTCGACGGTTTCGCTTCACTTGTTTCTGTTTACTTCAATTCAATTATATTTCCCTCGTCAAAAGCTTAAAGCTTGACTAAGCTTTGATGAAGGAGATCCCACTCCTGACACCATGTAACGTCGTGGTTTATAAGAATGTTTTATTAAGATATATCTAACAGTAAAACCGTAAACAGTAAACATTATTGCATATAAGCGTTTATATACTGTATTCCGGGAGATTCAATTAAAGCGTAATTAAAATGGCTACATGACTGTATAGCCACTTCAAAATTAACATATCGTATATTCAGCATTGTAAGGAATAAATATTTTTGGTTAATCTAGTTTTTTTTATCATAAATCAATCTCGAAAAACCTCTTCACTCATACAGGTATCTTTTCTTATGTCATATATTTAATAACGCAAACACTTTTTTTCTAAGTGGGGCTTCGGTGGCACAGTCGTCAGGGCAAGCGCCTTTCCCCTCTAAGTTCGTGGGTTCGATTCTCGCTACGGACTCATGTAAAAAGAGTCCGTCAACGCTTTGCCGAAATCGTGGGTTTTCTCCGGGTGCTCCGGTTTCTTCCCACAGGGAAAGTTGACAGGGTGGGTTAGGATAAACACAGTTAAGAAAGTAATATCACAATTGTAAGTTGTAAAAATAAAATAATCTAGGCTAAGTACTGTATGTAATTTGGTAATCGTATAATACTTGATGTAAAGCGCATTTGATCATACCCACATGTAAATTTGCGCTATATAGATTAATGCTAATCGTAAACCTAATCGTATAACAATCCTACCTATATATATCACTGCCGTATATATAACATTAATGTTTGTGCATACGAAACTGTATGCCATTAAGCTACATGTACCAATCACAAAACACATTCATTTTGGTTTCGTAATTAACGCATTTTTCATCTGTTCTGATGTTCGCAATCCGAGGTAGTTATTATGAAATGCTTACATGACAATTGATGTTGGGTTACTTGTTTCGTTGGATCCCACGCATCCTGCTTTTCTATATTGCCTCTCGCCGGCCTTGACGAAAACAAGATATAGTTGCATGCGGATTGAGAGAGAAAAGAACTACCTGAAAAAATTCAAGAAAATTTCGAGGTTGCGCTTGTATTTATCAGGTACATAGAGATGACATTGTGCATCTCTCTCAATCCGCAGCTGTCTTAGTATCACACTAAATGCTTCGACAGACTTTGTTTTGTTGTGTTTCCAGCGATCGCGACATGTTACAAACAACCTATATAAATATATACACTAGAAAATACATGCATGCAGAAACCCTCGCCTTAGTGACAAAAAGTTGTCATGGTAACACGATATTTTAAGAATAGTTTTAAAATTGAAAAATCCTCCCAAAATATCACTTTTAATAACAAAATTATCAATTTCCCAAACATATATATGCTATAGGTATGTTATTATACGTAATATAAGCTTCAATTTAATGTAAAATTCAACTACAAACGCTTCGCAAAACGTTTGTTAAAATCTTCTTAAAACTAAACGGCCTTTTATCGAATTATCGGTAAACATTGAGTTTGAAATAAACTGATTTCAAATTCTCGCATGAAAATAACTTTGCTTTCCTCTTTATTTAAATACTTTAATATACAAAAGAAAGGGTAATTAATAAAACTACACTGAAATGATATGCTGTCTTTCTTCACTTATATATACGCAATGATAGTATCAGTTCGATATTCGCAGTATCGCCCACCACTATCAGTTATACCATAGGCTGCCCAAAAATCCGTGTTAAAATTTTTACCCTCGCGCATGGCGCTCGGGCATGCATCGAGTCTACTCAGTTTATTATTATGACAATAATAATAATAGTCATAATAATAAACTGAGTAGACTCGATGCATGCCCGAGCGCCATGCGCGAGGGTAAAAATTTTAACACGGATTTTTGGGTAGCCTATGGTTATACATATATCAATTATAAAACAAACATACATCAATATTTAAAACAAACTTACCTTCATTAACGTCGGCGACTTTGCTCTATTCTTTTAGACGTTTTTCCACGTTTTTTGGCTCTCAGAAAGGTTTTGAAATTTACAAAATCTTGCAAATTAAAATACAACTTGCAAGAAATGTTTGTTATTTTGCTGTCGTCAATGCAATCGTTACAATACAAATTTCAAAATTTGACCAGTCAGTGTTCACTATTCACGACAGTCCGCTACATATTTTGAGGTCAGTGAGGATGACTACCCATGAACGGTGAGCCATCTGCGCCCACGATATTTGATGAACTTTAGACTTCGCTAGTGCGTTCCTTTGCCCGGGTGTAAATAGCCGGGCGGAATTAGTACCCTCGCACGGCGCTTCGCGCCGTCGGCTCGGGGATTATTCTTACATTTTGTGATTTATTACATTGCGAAAATAGTACAATTTACTATTTACAATTGAAGTCATATTTTAATGTGATATGCAAATTAATAAGGAAGTAGAGTGTTCTGATGTCCGTGATTTCTGGACATGCGAGCTTGCATGGCACGCTCATTCCTCTTTAAGCACGTTCTCCACTAGGCGTATTTTTTCGCGCGACGCGAAATCAGTTCCTACTTTTTAATGGATCAATTGCTACTTTTTTACTGTTCGCGCGAACAAATTCGCCTAGTTGAGAACGGGCTTTAAAGGTGCAGCATCGTGAGTTCGAGTCTACAGTTTCAAGTACGCACGACAATTTCAGTTTATCTTTGACCTCGGATTCAGGTTTATTCTTGTTATATTTATATACCTTTTATATAGTTACCTCCAGAGATTGACGCGTTCGTTTTATTTTTGAAATACGAACAATTTTTATCTCTCTAACGGTGGTTTTGTTCAGGTCAAAAGCAGAGTTAGCCATATAAAGCCACTCCTATGCAACCTAATAACAATTAGTATAGATTGAGTTTCTTAAAACGTTATCAAACAACTGCATAGTTATTCGAAATGGTGACCGAAGTATAATTTTGGGTTCATGATGACCATTGCATATCTGAGTAAAATATTTGCGTAACGTAACGTGAATATCCACAATAATCCGAGATGGCTCACTGATTTATGATGTTTGTGGCCAAAATATTTCGAGAGCTATAAGCGACATTTGAAGTAGCTGTTTTCGATATAATTTTTAAAGCTCTTTCAAATGAGACAAACTAAATTTTTTGCCATATCCCTTAAAATGAAAGTAGCAGTAGACAGTTGACTTTATTAGGGGAAATACCTCCAAAAATTTTGTAGTGTGCTTTTACAATAGATAATTTTAAGTTATTTGTTACCCTACTACAGATCAGTTTTTTTAGGTGTGAGGATATTTTTAGGTTATATCTTTACCAATGATTTCATACTTTTTAGGGTGCTGTTGAATTACGAATGCAAAGCTTCTTCTTTCACCTTAAAAGATGATATTTACCTACATTCACTTAAAGATAAACAGGACCTTGCATGCGACGAACCTTCGAAGGCCATGCTTTATAAAGCTGTGGAGGCTGTGTTTGGTACGGATATATGTAATGGTAGAAAGGGTGGGAGAACTGAACAAATTAGTTGCTATAGAAATCTGAGACGAAAAGGCCTAAGACAATCTTCTAACAATGATTCTCGGCAGTACACACGGGAAGAGAACGAAGCGCAAGTGAGCGGATTGCCAAGTTTGAAGGATACAATACCTTCCAATTGGGTTATTGTTACTGACTCTCCTCGTCGCATAAGCTTTGTGAGAATGGAAAGATGGGAATTTTGTAATCAGCGGGGCTGTGTAGATCTATTGGTTTCCGTTGATCATGCAGATTTAAACAAGGTGTCGTTTGTGCTCCGTTCACATGGGATTATGGTTAATTTAAACGATGTGTTGGACTTTGATAATGTCCTTAAAGACTTGACAATTTCAGAAAAAGTACCAATTACGATCCAATTTATTGAAAAGAGCCCGATATGTACAGGCTACATTTTAACAGAGGAGAAAGAGGATATTACATCATTGGATCCCTTGGCAATTGTAGGCGATTTTATAGAGCACAATTCCGCAGGAACAACCACCGAATGTAGAAAGGTATTTTCTAGAAATTGCGAGTTGTTTGCTTCTCCTCAGGGACATTGTAGAAAGTGCAGACATCGTGAAAATTTACAAAAGCAAAGGGAAAATAGTAAAAAGAAAGGAATATAAGCGACAGTAAGCGTTTCTGTAATTACAGATATATGACTAGGCAGGCGTTAGAATACCAGTTGCGTTTGGATGAGTAGAAAAGCTTTAGTCGCCAAACGTTTAACTAATAAGCGTTTAACGACCAAAACGCAAACTCTAGCGACTTGTCAACGGCTTTACTTTAATAATAGATCTCATTTCGTATACTGTATATATACTGTAATAATATGGTCTTTAGTGCAATGCACGAGTGAGTTTTTCAAAGGGCATCAAAATGCACGTGTCTGAAGTACGAATGTTGATGACGTATTTGAAAAACTCACGAGTTCTTGTTTTATCCAAATTTTACGACAAACCATTACCATCCTATTACGTATTAATAATAAATATACATAAAAATGTTCGAGACAATTGTAGTTTTGACTTACTGTACGTAATAAGCGAACAGTCCCGCACTGACGAAGTTTTCCTGCTTAGGCTTGACTCAAATATGTAAGTTTTGCTAGTTCACAAGAAACCATCATATTAAGGATTAATAATGTATATAAAAATGTTCGAGGCAGTCCTGTTTTGTTACAGTATAACACATTTTATAGGGCAAGCGGTTTGAAAATTTTACTCAATCATGCAAGTTTTGTTATTCTAAGTAAAGTATTTTCTGTTATAAAATAACCTTTTAAAAACACGGGCGCTGATTGGTCAAAACTCAAAAAACCCGTGTTTCATAACTCGATAGAAACACGGGGAATTTCCACGCGGGTTGCGTGGATTGCGTGGGAGTTTGAAAGACAAAATACAAACAATATTTAATATTGAAAAAAAAAGTTGGAAAACGTCCGAAAACGCCGAAGAACCGTCACAAAAAAGGCAATGCTTTGCTAACTTAGAAAGCAAAGACCTAAAGCACAAAGTACGTTGTATAATACAGCATACGTTGTATCTGACAGTGTTTGACTGTTTACCAGGGTGAGATATTTTAATTTTACTTTGTCTTTGTAAAAAAATATTTTATCGCGACGTTTTTAATCATGTTTACTATCATTTTTAATCATGTTTAAACTTTACTATTTAAAACAGCGCTTCCTTTGCAAGCATCACGTTGTTGAGTGAATTATATACTTTAATAAAGTGAGCCTGTCAAAAAGTGCTGTCTGTTGTTTTGACAGCAATATACTTGTTTACTTGGCTATCCTTTGATTATTCTTTAGACGAACGTATATTAAGATAAAATTAATATTTGAATGAATGTATAATTAAAATCAATAAATTTATCTTTTTATTGTTTTTAAAAGGCTATTTAATAAAGGAAATAGAAAACATTTTTTCCGTGTTCCTATAGAGTTATAGAAACACTTGTGAAAGTTTGGGAGAAACTCGAAATTGCGTGGAAACACTCGCACTTCGTGCTCGTGTTTCCACGCAATTTCTCGTTTCTCTCAGACTTCCACGCGTATTTATATTTTCGACCGAACTCATTTTACTTTATGTAGCGCGGCCGCTAGAATTTTGCACTGTTGTTACCGATGTTTGCTCTATATGTTTGGGATTAACTGCACTGAAATCAACCAATCATTGTCGAATAACATATTGTAGTATATTATTCAACTAGTTACAAGCACGCATTTTCGACCAAACGTTTCTGCATATCGTTCGCCAGCTCTTCGCGTGCAAAATGTTGGTTTCGTTCAAAACGTTGACCGGCAGTTGTACGGATTGCAAACTGCACGTGAGCGTAAAATAATTTGAATCAATTTTTCTCAAATTGTTGGAAACTTTTCGCGGCTTACTAAAACTTCGGCTAAATATTATTCACTCACCTTATTTATTTATAATATTACTATTTGTGCAACTAAAACTTCACAGTGAGAGCTTAAAAGAGCTAATGTCAGAAGTAAATGCTTGATTGACCTAATGTCTCAGAATTGTTTAATTAAATTCAATCTTCGAAAGTATCAAACTGGTATCTTTCCATGACACGCAAACGCTTACAGGCATGTTAAGTTATGTGGATATGCTCTCTCGTATCCGCAATTCACTCTCATATCTTCATTCATCCGTCCGTCCGCATTTCACCCTCATCCGTCCGTCCACATTTACCGTCCGTCTGTCTAACGTCAGTCCGTCGCATCCGTGTTCTGCGTTAACCCGTACCAAGCTTGTCAAAATCAATCAGGAACACAAGGAGCCCACACCGGGCCCTGTTATAATATAATAATATGATAAAATTCAGTTATAAAGCTCTTAAACTATAAATGTTTTAAAGCGCTATAGGTACAAACCGTGAGATATAAAATCGTAAAATTACTTTAGACTATATTTACACATTAATCACAGTTAATTGAAAGTTAAAAATTGTCTAAATGAAAAACACTACTAATGTACGCATCCCTAAAAAGGAATGCTTGAAGATGTCTCTTGAAACAGTCGACCGAAGACGAAGCACGAATGTCAAGTGGGAGCGATTTCCACAGAAACGTGTTAACAAATCACAAATATATTTAGGAGCTAACCCATGAAGCGCCTTGTAAACGATAAGAAGAATGCAGGCAACCAGTGAAGTTTCATCAATGTTGGTGTAATGTGATCGAATTTAGGTATAAGACAAACAACACGAGCAGCCACATTAAGTACTTTTTGTAGCCGATTGAGTTGAAATTTTGGAATCCCATAAAGCAGCGAATTACAATAATCAATGTGGGACGTAATGTATGCGTGAAACAAGATTTTCGTGGAATCCTCGGTTAAGTACTTTCTAATCTGTTTAATATGATATAAACTCCGAAAAGTCTAGCTGCAGACCTTGCCAACATGGATGTCCATCGACATATGCATATCGAACCATGACCCAAGATTATTGATTGTGTTCACCGGAGAAACGTTCACGTCACCCACTCGTAGTTTATCAATGGTAGCTTGATCAGCTGTTGTCGAGAGCCAATTATAATAAACTCAGTCTTACTACTTTGAATAAAAAGACGATGGTGAACCATCCAGGTACGAATATCATCAGCAAAGGCGTGATCCCTGGGAAGGTGTTTAGATATACTGTAACCTTAGACAGGCCTGAAACATAAAGCAGGAATAGGACGGGACCCAAGCAACTGCCTTGGGGAACACCAGTCGGCAAGTCAAAAGCAGATGACTTGCAATGATCGATAACAACACGCTGTTTTCTTTCATAGAGAAAGGACATGAACCATTTCATAGCATTACCAATCACACCAAAATCTTTTTCGAGAATATCCAACAAAATCCAATGGTCTATGGGTGTCAAACACCGCGCTGAGATCAAGCATCTCAAGTAGTACGACCTCTTGATTATCCATGTTACTAAGGATATCACTTTGTACTTTGAGAAGGGCAGTTTCCGTAGAATGAAACTGACGATAGGCTGATTGATTAACAGGCAATGGAGCATTAACATTGCAATGATTAACAATTGACCCACCACTTCCTTTTCAGTTAACTTGGCGACAAAAGGAAGATTGCTTACATGTCTAAAATTCTCAAACAGTAAATCCAGACCGAGCTCCTTAAGCATGGGCAATACAAGTGCAGATTTCCAAATTTCAAGAACTATCCTTTCAACCAAAGACAAGTTTATCATACGAGTGATAATAGGAGACAAAACATCACAGCAACTCTTTAGCAACCAAGTGGGTATTGGATCTAGCTGACAAGAGGTATTCGAAGATGGCATGATAGTTCGACACCGGAGAGAACGATTCAAACTTCACTTCCGGAAAGCGATGTTCAACCACAAGAGGGACAGCATCTATTTGATTTAAAATCTTCTCGTTTATAAGTTCAATCTTACGATAGAAAAATTGTCCTAAGTGCTCAGCTAAGGTGCACCGATCTTCATAAGGTGGCAATGCTTTATCCTGATGGTTTTTGGACAGCGAGTTGACAATACGAAATAATTTCTTAGGATTTCCTGCACATTGGTCGATCATATCAGTGTAGAAGGAGACCTTTGCTTTCTGAAGAAGAGCACTGTATCTGTCTCTAATTTTATGATATACTTCTTTAACAGCCATAAGTCCAGATTGAAGCATTTTCCTTTCTCGTTTCCGACGTTCAGCGTTGAGCTTTTTAAGGTCATCAGTGAACGACGGTATCTTGGGTCTATCAGTCCTTTTCATAGTCTTTAAAGGTGCATGCTTGTCAAGAATTTCTAACAAAAATTCGTTATAACAGTTCTCAAGTTCATCTATATTAGTCCAAGATTTATTATACAAGTCAGATGAGGAAATGTCGCTTTTAAACGCCTGGTAGTCAATTTGCTTGAAATTTCGAGAACAAATTTCCTTAACAATTAAATTCGGCCTAGGAATGACTTTCTTACATTCGACAATTATATGATCAAACAGAGCCAGAGTGGGTTCGACTTCGGATATTAGCTCGTCATTAACTGACCTCTTGATTATAAGATCAAGAATATGTCCTGATTTATGAGTGGAAAAAGTAACATGTTGAATGAGACCAAATGTTTCCAAGAGATCACAGAACTTCTTAGTGTTATTATCTTCAGCGGAATTCAGATGGATATTGAAGTCGCCCGAAATAAGTAACAGCTCAGTTGACGTTACAACGCTTTCGAGATAGATGGAAAATTCCTCAAAGGACAAGCTAGAAGGTACATAAAGTGACGATAAACAGCAACCAATTTGATAACATGACTCTGTGAGGTAATATTCCATTCAGATGATTCAAAAGATCTGTACTCACTAGCATCAACCAGTTTAGTTCTCATCATGCTCTTGAACATTAGTCCTAGACCACCGCCAGACCTCGCAGCCTTTCTAGGTGAATTTTCAAAACTATATCCTGATGGGAACAGACCCGCGACAGTCACAGAGTCGCAATCCTTTAACCACGTTTCAATTATAACACATATATCAATATTAGAGTCAACAACAAGATCAACGACATCAGCTACTTTGTTTCTAACAGAGCGGGCATTAGCACAGGCAAATTTAAGAAAACCATTTCCCACAGGAACGATTTGAACTGCAGATTGATTCCTACCCACGTTTGTTATCCTAGTAGTATGAACAGAAATTAAATTGTTAAAATTTACACCTCTCCTTCGTACACAGTTTACAGGAGCAGTTCGTCCCCGGATGTTATTTGTTGCACAAGGGCCAAGTGCTGCACAGCCCTCGGTTGTCAATTACATTATCATCAACATTGTTAACGTGGTACGACTGCCGAATCCTCACATCTTTCTTATATTCTCGGGTGGATTTCCTTTTAAATTGTGATGAACAACGGTGAGTGATCCTAGTTGCTAATGACAACAGCATCATTGCTTTCTTTGAAGCCGATTGTATTATTCGATTGATCCTCAGAGAACACTTTGACTTCTAATTCAGCATAGCGTGACTTCAAGTTCAATTTTTCATCAGACAATTTGCATATATCCTGTTTACTTTTATTTATAATTTGAGTCTGTTCTGAAAGTTTATTTATCAAGACTGAAATATCTGACTCAATCTTATCCTTAAACATGCAAAATTGTTTCTCTGTAATGCCAAAATTAGCCTCATCTCGCGGCCGAACTGGGGTAGAGCTGTCAATAGTTTGTGCAGAAAATATATTAGTATTATTATTTCGCATCAGAACATTCGCATTTTGAAAAGATCGGTCAGTAAAATCCTCTAGCACATCAAGGGTTGAACAATCATCCACTCGTGCTAACTAATGGTGCGGTGAGACTGGGTATTGATCCGAGGGATTTGAATGTCGCCATAAAAACGTCCCAGCACCTTCGTTTAGTTTGATATGATAATCACCAGGTTAATCGTCCAATTCAACTTTCTTTAATTTAATTTAATGATGCTTCTTGACTTACAACTTGGTAAACTCTCTTCAGCAAACCAAGTGTGGTCTTTATACTTTACTTTTAATTAACACAACTTCTCTGAATGGTTTTAGTTTGTGCTTGGAAAAAGAAACCAAAACAGTATTTGTTTTCTTCAGTGGGCGGAGAGATATACACTCAATTGAGGTCGTTATAGGTCTTGAAAGAGATTTTCCCCACTGTCCAACTGAAATTTAACTTTGATTTTTTCTACATCAACATTTTCGTAAAATTGTTCATTCTCAGATGGAATGGTTGACTCAATTGCATATACAAATAAGGATGAGTCACTGTCCTCGGAACTATAGTGTCCTATTTTCTCTATAACTGTACGTTGTTGACTGGTTTGACTCGGCAAACCTTTGCATAGTGATTCGTCTTTTGGCATCGTCTACATTGTTGACCCATTGCTGGGCATTTCTGGTCATTTTTATCGAAACCACATCTTCCACACCTGTCCTTCGACATGCTGTCCAATTCACCACTCGGGTTTTCTCACTCTGTGTGCCATTTATTTGAGTATCGACGGTTTCGAGGGTCTCGCTGACGGTACTGTACCGGTTTAATGGCGTTAATGATCGGATCTTCGTCTTTCGTGAGCTTCTTTAAGCTATCTAAATTGGTTTCATGGCTTCGTCCGATTCAGGGTTCGTAGCGGTCTTTGAAATCCTTGAAAGTCTTTAAATTTGAATGCAAGTCTTTAAGGTCTTTGGAAAGTCTTTGAATTGTGTGAACAAGCGAAGAAAGTCTTTAAAAGTCTTTAAATTCTTAGTGAGTATTTGATTATACGATTTCCTAGCTAATAAAATAGATTGTTTGAAGCAACATTTTCGCAAATATCGACGAAAAGGCACATTTTAGGATGTGATTTGACTAATTATTGGGTAAAAATGTTGCTTACACTTGCACTTTTTAGTGTCAAGTTTCTTCGAAACTTGACAAGTATTGTGATGAGTGGGGGAAAATTCATATGAGTCAGGGATCAGGCATAATAGTGTAAACTTTCCGGGGGGTGTATACGATATATGTTCGTAGTGATTTATTGTACTTAGTCAGTGCTTTGAAGGTTATTTAGGCAATTTTAGTTGTCTTATTTAAATATTCTTTTGTCCTTTTGCCAAGTTCACAAAAATTTTGAGGAGTGGTTGTCGTTATTGTAATTTTTTGTAAATTTTATAACATTCGCTTCTCATGTTGTGTAAAAGATCTTTACCCCGGAACACTCGATTTTTCTTTAGCAGCGCAAATGCGCATGCGCTATCAAACCGTAGATGCCTACGATGACGTGACGATGCTAGGAAGGAGCGACACAGTGTTGTTTTCAAATGTATACACATTTCAGATGTGAATATTGAGTAAATCTTTGAGAGTCTACGCAATATATAAATTGATGTTATTCATTACGGGCATTCAGTCAAGTACCGATATTACTTAGACGGTATATTCATTATACAGAGCTAAGAATTAAGGAGCTAGATAGTGCTTTTTTCCAAATGTATATAAAACATTTCAGACCTAATTATAAATATTGAGAAAATCTTCGAAGTGCCGATATTATTTTGACGGTATATTCATTATACAGAGCTAGGAAGGAGCGAGACAGCGTTGTTTTCAAATACATAAACATTTCAGACCGATGAATATTGATAAAATCTTTGAGATGCTACGTAATATATAAATTGATGTTGTGCATTTATACCGGCATTCAATTAAGTGCCGATATTATTTAGTCGTATATTCATTATACATCGAATGTAAAGGTGTAACACTGCTACACCACAGAATAGGTCACTCAGTACGAAGAGCAAAACATTGCATCAGATCAGTAGAGCATAAATAACTATCAAACAGAAGTAGTGTTTGTATATCATTGTATGGCGTTTGCTATCCAACGTGTAGTCACGGGCCTTGTTCACATGTCTGGCACAACGGTGCAAACTGGTGTTCAATGGCACAATGCAATATTCAAATGCAACGAGAACATCACCAGATCTTACGAGAATCTATCTGTATCAAAGCTTTATCAAAACTGCTATAAACTCTGCTGTAACTGTGAAATTATTGACATCTAAAGTGACATTATTGAATACTTGCGAAAAGCTGAAAATGACTCATATAAAAAAACCAACCTGATCTTGGCCTTGGGAATATAAAGTCAAAGGTCATTGAGACTTGTTATTGAGAAACATCACTATGGAAACATGTCACAATTAAGTTAAAATGCGGAAGCGGATGCGGAACCTAGCGGATCCATGGAGCGGGTGCGGAACGGATATGGGGATAAAATGCGTCATTTAAATGAATTTTTTCGCCTCATTTTTATGTGTCTGTGTTTTGGATTTATGTTTTTGTAATGGGATGCAACGTCATATTAACTACAGTGTGTCCCCAAAAAAGTACCCTTATAACAATAGGATAGATACTTTCTATAGAGGGTACTTTTTTGGGACACACTGTAGTTATACAGCTATTTCAATTGTGTCACTGAGACAATAGTTAAATGTGCAATATGGGCGCTGATAGTTTTAAATAAGTTTAGTATATCAGTAGCCTCATGGGGATACTTTCAGCGACAGCTCCCAATGCAATTGTAGTTTTAGAATATACAAAATTTGGTTGCTGGTGAAAGAATTTAAATTTCGAGTTGTCTCGTGTAGCATCACAATAAATAAATAAATTGTACCAGTTCCACGAGGCACGGCGAAGGAAGTGACAATGAATTGTTTTTCTCGTAAAAACCTTGTTCTAATCCACATTTTTGAGTAACGTGCAGGGTTGGTATGTTAGATGAAGAATTAGGCCAAATCGTATTAGTGCCGTTATTGAAAACAAATAAAACAAAAAAAACAAAACACGCTAAGACAAAAAACAAAGGCCTAATGTGACGTTGTTTGGCCTAATTGTTGAGCAAACCTATTAACCCGCTAGACCCTACGCAGTTCTTCCCGATCTTATTCAATTTGAAACTTTACACTATCCTTGGATCCCTAGTTCGACAGCTGATTGCTCTCAAAGGTCTTTGAAAAGTCTTTGAAAATAGGCAGAAAAAATCTTTGAAAGTCTTTGAATTTTTTTGGTCTTGGAGACTACGAACCCTGCGATTTCAATAGCCTTTTCTAATGTCAAAGTATCGGCCAAATCGATACACTTCTCACGAACCTTTGTGTGTTTACAACTAAGAACGATCGCATCACGAACGCACACGTTCCTCGTCTTTATAACCACAATCTTTTACCAAAATCCTGAGGTCTGTTACGAAAGACTCAAAACTCTCATTATCTCCTTGACGTCTTTGATTAAATTTCAAAGCGGCCATGATATAGTTCTTACGTGGAGTACAATAGTCCTCGAATTTCTTTAGTAGGCTACATGTGTCTAATTTCTTTGCATCAGCGAGTTGGTCAAATGTAACTCCTTCAAATACATCAAGTCCTTTATCGCCTACCCACAACTTTACATAGCTGACTTTAACGCTGTCCTCTTTATCGTGTAACGGACCTTCGAAAATACACATTGCTTTCCTATAGAATCGACGCCATTCTTGATTTAAATCTTGTGCAATCCAAGACATTTTTGGGGTCTTAAATTTCGCCATTATATATTGTTTTTTCCCCCGTTTACTAAACTATTATATTTAGAAAGAAATCTTCTTTCTATTTTCATTTAGATTCAAGCCCGATGGCTTGAATTCGGCACGGATTCATAAGGATCCTGACACCATGTAAAATAAAGACATTCATTCAAGATGGTTGACAATCACAACCCAAAACGATATTAATTATTCAAACATAAATATGTTAGAAATATACTCACCCGCGGGTGGGCAGAGTATGCTTATGCTAATTATGACCAACTTTCCTTGTATTCTTTTAAAACTTTAATAAATCATCACTACAAGGACTTGGAGGGAAATACATCAACAACCAAATTAACCTAATTCTCTTTTGTTAAAATTGTTGTAAATAGATTATATTGTTTGTATTCATAAACGGCCACTTGAAAATCAGTTTTTTTACCGCTGAAGAGTGAAGGGCTACCGTTTTCAAATAATTTTAAATAATATGAATAATTCTGCGTCGCGTTTGACATGGAAGAAGCCTTTTTACGACAGACAAATCTTACTATTCAACATATGGTCAGTTACGTTTTTCTCCATGAACTCGACGTTCAACTGTCTAATATTTTTCTGGAGATGTTCCATCTTGCGTCGTGAGGGAATGAAGGCAGTAAAATGTTTTAAGTATGAAAGATCTTAACTGGTTCTCTTGTGGCCACGGTACACGATACAGTTTATGAAGGATGTTACCACGCATGCCCCCTGTATAAGCCGATTCGAAAGTTTTACTAGCACAACGCATCCAAATGACGTGTGGATAAATGAACTATTAACAACATGTTTCTAAGACTGGAAGAATTAGAATTTGCATATCAAAGTGTTCAACTGTTCAATTACCATTTGAATATTCAAGAAGAACAATTAGTTTCCGCGCGGTTGAGTTGATTCGCTTTAAAGTGGAAAATATATTCCTCATTCTTTATTTTGCTTTACACAGAAGACAAAATATATGCTGGGATAAAAATTATTTAACAGTTCTATTGTGGATATAAGTCAAACAAATTATTGAACAGCTGAATGATTTGACATGCATATCTAATATTTGTAATACTATACAAATTGTTGGCTATCACATGCATGCATTGTTCCAAAGCACTTTGTTTCAAAGCAAAATACTCTTTTTAGGCCGTGGGATGAGCATCCAAAAGATGCTTAGAAAACGGATTCCGTTGCACCCCTCGTGGAACTACGTAATTTTCACATGAATAAATAGATAAAAACTTACTTTATCAGAATCCGTTGCTCCCCAAGCGAAACAGGTGCACAATTGGGAGAAAAATCCCTCCAAAGTTTGATATTTTCGCGCTTCGAAATATTCGAACCGCCATTGTTTTGATAGCAAATACGCATGCGCAACTCAGCCAAACTCGCATTGCGCACGCGCACAACCAGCGCACAACCAACGCACATGCTTCGAAGTGGAAACACGCTCAGTTGTGCAAATAAGCATGGCTGAAGATATTTATAAAACTAGAATATCCTCATGTTTTATGCATTTTGATGGCGTTACGGAGCAACTTTGCAAAGTTACACGCCAAAGGCTTAAGCAATTTCTTGAGTGTAGGTCAAAATGGGCCAAACTTAAATGTCAACAAGCTGAAATAGCTAAGAAATCGTACGAGAACATCGATGACGGATCTGTCAATTCATACATCGAGAACTTAGAACTCCGACACCATTAACTTAGAGTGGAACCATCATATGAAATGCTGGAAGAGATTTTGTGATGAAGAGAAGATCCGTAGATAACAGAGAAAAGAAGAAAAAGGAGAAGGAACTAGCACTAAAACTATAACTTTTACCGAAGAATCACACGTGGAAGTGGAGGCAATAGAACCAAGGCGAAAAATTAATACACGTCAATCAGTCGCAGAAGCTATAAATATAAAGGCCCTGCCTAAAAGAAACGCGCATGTACTCCCAGTGATATGTATTATTTGTGGAAGAGACGGCTCATGGTTCTCACTAGACAAGGTATGGTATTTTGATAGGTATAATACTAGCGCAATGTGCACAACATTCTCAGGTTTGGTTTTAAAATATATTGAATTGTGATCAATTTAGTTTATTTAGGGTAAAGTAGTTTCTATGCTACAAATATCCAACCTTGTTATTAGCAGATATTTAGTTTAATAATTTATTTTGTTTCACACCAGGTAACTAAGAAGAGAAGAAGAACCCCACTCATGTTGGCAGAAACAATTGATGCTGGTCTTCTACGTACAGCTGCTGAGAGAAAGAACGATCAACAGATACTCATGCAAATCCAGGGGAAAGACTGTGTAGCTCTGGAAATCCGCTATCACAAAGTTTGCTACTGCAATTATACAATATTTTTCACCAGAGAGACGAAGAAGCAACGAGAGTATCACTGTACGAGAAGTCTTATGATGTATTCTGTAAGAAAGTAATTGAGATGGAGGTCATCAGAAATAAGCAAATAAAGTATATGAAAGATTTGCTGGAGAAATTTCTTATCATTGCTAAGGACACTGAGAATGTGGATGCATCTAGATATAGAGCTTTTAAACTCAAGCAACGACTGATGAAAAGTTATCCCCAACTTGTGTTCTGTGTACCGAAAATGAGAAATGTTAGTGAGATTGTATATGTGGAAAATTTGGATTCTAATGAATTGGTTGAGGAACATATGTCAATTAAGGGCCTGTTTATGTGGAAGCCGGGCTGGCCCACTTAGCGAGGCAGCCCGGTAAGCGGGATGAATTTCTCTTGTGTTTATATGAGAAACTTTCATCCAGCTTGCCAGGACAATTTTGTTACATTGTATTGTTTTGACAGTTGTTAAAAATAGCTTGCGGCGGTATTTTTGAACTTTCATCCCTGCAACCGGGATATCCCGCTTGTAAATCTTTATATGGAGAAATTTCCATCCCGGTAAGCGAGATCTAGCCTGAGTAGCCTCTTTCAAA